TGGCATTGCGGCTGTCCTCGTTCCCTGATTGTTCTCCAGATAGATGCTCTGAAAAGGGACATTCTGATAACAGAACAACAACAAACGGACTGGAAGAAACATACATTGGTGGCCTGCATTGGCAAAGAAGTTGGTGCTTAATGTGTAAGAGGCACGCTGTTGAATCCAGGCGCCCAGGGACTGACCAGTGGAAACTCCTTGAACTGTGAAGTGCCCTGTCCACTCATGTTGATAAGAGGATATTTCCCCTCTCTTATAGATCGTAGGACCTTCGTATTGACATAATGTTTCACTGCGTGCTATGTGCATAAGAGATGAACACACATTTAATCTCTCTGCACAGGTTTCACCTTGTGCTGCTGCAGCCTTTATGTTCATCTGACGGCATTCCACTTCAGACCTGTGTCGTGTTGTTGAATACTATAAAGATTGCTTTATTTTTCATAAAGGTAAAGGGGTGCATATCCGAAACGTAGAACTGGTAAACATACAGAGCACATAGCAGGCTAAGAACAGATGTTTTTCTCAGGAGTTGTTGGAGGAGCAATCTGATTTACATTGAGTAACCATCAACCCTCTCTTATGCAGTAGTGTGCTGACCTGGGGCTGTGCCACCAACCACAACAAGGACAACTGGAAGAAAACCTTCATGGACTTTTGAAGCAGGCTAAGTGTAATATATATGTATATTTTAACCTGTGTTGCGGGTTTGTGTGCTGAGAGAACCCGAGACTTGTTACATAAGCATACGCCGTTTTTTTGTGTTTACGTGTGTGTTTACAAGTGTTTAAATGTTGGGTCAAAACAGTACAGGAACAAATCAGCTATGACAGTAGAGTATATACGACGGTGACTGTGGTCTCAGAGGCAGAGAGGGGTCGTCCCCTAAATTAGAAGGTTGTTGGTTCGATCCCGGCTTCCTCCTGCCACATGTCGAAGTAACTGATACTGAACCCCAAATTGCTCCTGATGGTGTGCATCGGTGTGTGAATGGTATAAATGAGGTTAGTTTCTGTTTGATGGGCTTTGCCATCACTGAGTGAATGTGTGTGAAAGGGTGAATGTGGCACGTAGTGTAAAAGCGCTTTGAGTGGTCAGAAAGGCGCTATACAAGAGGTCCATTTACCATTACAAAGGAGACTTTCCTAAGCCTTTTTCTTACGCCTCTTTGCCATTGAGCTGCAGCCACAAAGGTTTTCTAAAAATAGCTGTCACCTTATCTCTATCACAGGAGGCTTGGCGGAGTCACTGGGCCAGCCATACAAACCTGGACATTCTCTTGACAGAATAACCACAGGAGATTAAAAGTAATAACAAATCCAAAGCTATTTTTGGATCTCTGCCCCTGTTACAGCGCTGTATTCAGACAAGCATTACCTCATCGAAGCTGCTGGGATTTCTCAGCTCAGGTTAACACCACCCTCTGAGGCTGGAAGAGGAGTTTTGTGGGGATGTTTTTGCATTTTTATTGCTAAGTCTGACTATTTATAAAAAAAAAACTATGCAAGGTAAAACACAGTGTCCGTGTAAAAGAAACAGAAAGCTGCAACCTTTTTGTTTTGTACTCACACTTGTTCCTCTTTTTATGTTTATGTTTTGTGTGTTTCCACGTCATTCATTATGTTCTCTCCAAGGTTGTAACCGCATTGTACTGCATGAGTATTCCTCAACGTTCACAAATAAACAGAACTCTTTCTTTTTTCGTAGTTTTTTTTTTTGAGTGTCCTGAATAAACACAAACAAATATTCTCAAACAAATCTATGCAAAAAAGGAACAGCTGAATTTGCTGAATAAATAACAAAAACAAAAAAAATTCACATCAAAGTGTCAAAGCCCTGAAATAAACAGGTAAATAAATGAATAAACACACAAACAATAATATTTGTCTTACAAATGTATGAGAATATAAGACATATTCCAATATGAGTCTATGAATGTGATGTAACATACTACACATGCAATTGTATCACTACAGGGAACATTGTAGTGATGGAAACTTCAGCCTTAACCACTACATGCTTAATCCTCAATGGACACTCACACCCACACCCACACATATAAATAACAGAATAAAGTGATAAAAGAATAATAATAAACTTTATTTGTATTACACCTTTCAAAACCTGGTCGACAAAGTGCTTCACGGGGAAAAACCATGAATCATGGAGGTATTAATCATAAAAACACTAAGACGATGAACAGTCTGACATATCTGAAGTAAAAGTGCAGTTTGAACATTATGTGTCATTTCTTACTTATTTTACTACTTTCTTTGTCTAGTGGACAAATCAGGGATGGAAATGCAATGGGACCCTTAGGTGGGGTTCTGGTTTGACACCTCTACAATAAGCAATAAGCATCAAACACAGTACAACATAACAATAAATAAAAATGAGGGATAAAACCATGGTAGATAAAAGGTAAGATAGATTGGGGCGGATCGAGAGGAATATTCATGGGATGGTCAGGGGGTGGCTGGTCTGATTTAATCACAAACAATCACATAGCTTGAAAAGCCTCTAAATGAAGATATTTGAACTTTTTTTCCAAATACTTTTTATTTTAATGAAATTAAGCCTATCCCCTAGTCTAAAATGTTTTTAACCACTGACAGTACAATACACAGAGCTTCCAGGTCTGTGAAGTTAACCAACGTGGAAGTGTCCTAAAAATGCATCCTATGTAATGGCCAGCAGGGGGCAGCTGCATTAGTTGCAAAAAAAAAGAAGTCCGATAGTATTGAGCCTTATGGAGAAATAAGCAGACTTCTCACATTTATGAGCTCAGTAAACCGTTTCCTAATGAGTTTATAGTCTCAATATCTAGTTTCAGTCTTTCCTTCCCAATAACAGCCATGATGTTCATGTTAGTAAATGATGGTCCATTTGAGTAAAATAGGACCATAAACAGGGTATGCCTTAGGCATGGCTACCTTTGGATTGACAGGTTATTCTCAGTAAGTCTGTCCAGCTTAACGTACCAAACTCAGATCAAACTGTCAAACTAGATATGAAGATGACAGCGACCATAACGCCAAACTGGAGTCTTCAAAATGGTACCCCAAAAACCAATGTTTGTTTTTAACATGTAATTATAAAAAATTATCTAAATGAATGTGTTAAATCAGCATTTGACACCAAACTGGGGTGGCCAGACATCTTTTTAGGAGTGGCACCCCATGTCCTCCTTCTAGATCCGCCCCTGAAGATAGAAAGTTTCAAGAAGAAACTTAAAGGTCCAGTGTGTATAATTTAAGAGGAGCTATTGGCAGAAATGGAATATAATATTCATAGCTATGTTTTCATTATTGTATAATCACCTAATTATAAGAATCTTTGTGTTTTTGTTTAGAATGAGCTGTCATTGACACAGGAAGGGGGTCCTCTTATGGACATATCAAACACTGGCTCTAGATAGCTGAGCTTTGTTGCCACTGTAGTTTATCCTACTAGCTTGGAACATGAGGGTCTATCTGCAGACATGATCTCATACAGTGCAGCTAAATACACACATTAAACATACACACATATGAAGCAACTGAACCACTCTGAGACTGCCTCTGAGTTACTATTGCATCATGAATATGAAGAGGACACTTCAGACTGTGGTGTCTCTGCAGCCTCCAGTTGTTTGTGTCTGACAGCATCTTTCCTGTGTGTCGTCAGCAGGCTCAGCCTCTCTATACTCAAGTGTGTGTGCGTGTGTGTGTGCGTGTGTGTGTGTGTGTGTGTGTGTGAAAATCCCTCTGCTGATGCATTCCTGTGACGGCGCGTGCAGCCCTCCCTCCCTCACACCTGCCTCTCTACCGGAGGCTACTCTTAGGAAAGAGGAAGTGGAGGAACTAAATAGCATTTCCATTTCCTCATGCCGCCCGGTTTTTCCCAGATGCAGCGATAAATAGAGACAGGACGATGGCAAGTCACAGCAAAGCAGATCCCCTCACTACCGGTCAGCGCGAGTACGCAGAGACAGACAGGATGATGGACATGAAGCAGGTGAGTGAGACACAGACAGGACGGGACAGGCTGCTCTCTGTGCGTCCTCCATCGCTCCAGCTGACGCCTGTATGTGTGTCTGCCTGTCTGTCCCTTCCACAGATTCTCATCTTTGGACTTTTCCTCGTGCCCGTGTGGACGTCCAAGTGCTATGAAGAGCGCGAGCTGACCGAGGCAGCAGAGCGGAAGCTGCAGAACCGCTTCCCGCAGCCCGCGGACCCCTTAACCACCGCCACATCCGGCTCACCTGCCTCCTGCCCGGTGGAGCTTTACCAAACACAGCCGCCCCCCCGGGACTACAGCGGCAGGTCCCTCTCCCCCTGGAGATACATGTGAGTAACCTCCTGGGGCTTGTGTTTGTGTTTGTACAGCAGAAATAAAATGCTTTCATTTAAAATAACGATCTAGAGGGATATCCATGATGTGTGGCAGAAATATGCTCATTTAATCTCAAACAATCACATATATCAATATATATCAACATATATCAATATGTGATTGTAAAAAACCCCAAATGAAGTTATTTGAACTGAGAAACATTATTGTGCCACATTAGTAAAGCACTGAATGAGAAATATCTAAAGGTGGCATTAGAAATCAATACACTGTTTTATTTCCAAATTTACAGACATTTTTCCAAATATACATGTTATATACATGTTTAAAATGAATCTGAATTATTCTGTTAAATTTGACACCAAACTGAGCTGCCAGATATTTTTTATGGGTGGAAGCTGTCATCCCATGCCTTCACAAGGAGTCCCAGTTTAAGATTGACTTGGGAAAGTTGTGGGAGTGATGGGAGAATGAGTGTATGAGATTGTGTCATTGAACTTTGTCCAACCTGTTCTTATATTTAGATAATATTACAGTGTGGATACTGCTGCCATAAACAATCCATCATCCATGGATCATTGAAAACATCATTTGAATTCTATTAAGTAGCCATCATTTTTTAAAGATATGTGGGGACAAATGCATGCGAGGGAATGCTACAGCCATAAACACCAGGCATCACTCAGCGCCATAAGACTACAGTCAAATGATACAATAACCCTTTAGGCGAAAATGTATATTTGCACTGACCCCAAATGCCTCGTGATGCATTCATATTCATATTAATTAGTGCTCAGGTATGCGCCACAGGCCGGCTCCAGAGTGCGGAAAGTCCCCGCAGCAGACAGTGAGCGCACTTTGTTGGCATGTATCCATTGGGAATGACAGTAATTGCTTCACTGAGTGAAATTTGTTATCTCTAATCTGTAGCATATTATTAACTGTAGGTTATTGGAATTTTCTTTTGTTTCCGGATTACTTGCAGTTGTTCTAAGCTTTCTAAAAGTTACAGTAATGCTCCAGAGTCCTCCTCCTAGCTCTTTGTCTCAGCATTAGGACTGAACAGCTTTAGATTTAAACTAGCAAAGCAAAGTTTGTGATTAAAGTCCTTAGTTGCCTTTACTAGATTTTTTTTGCCCTCCAGTATGCTGATCATAATCTGTAATGTGCATTGTTGCCTGTCACCTCAAGTCTCAATTAAGCGCACACAGCTCACAACCAATCAGAGCCGAGAACGATAGATGCTGGGAATGAGACTCAACAATCAGCTTTCCAACCCAAAGTGTCTTTCCATCTTTCTCAGCTCTGACTGGTTGTTTTCGTTCAAGCCTGATGGATTCTTCAAATACCATTAGGAGCACTAGGAGGAGCCAGAGAAAGCTGATTGTTTCACAGATTATCTGTCTCATGTACTACTGTCAGAATGTAGTGAAAGTTTTAAGAGAATATGACAAAACGTAATTTTATAAAAGTATCCTACTGCAGCACAGTCACAGGGGGCAAAAAAAAACATTTTCCTCTGATAATAATTATTCTGATTTCTTTTATCTATTGGTGTAGAAAATGCAATTTCAGGGAAGCGCCATTTTACTGGATGTCACGTCTCCTCTCTGTCTCTGGATCAGCTGTTCACCTGTAACCACCTTGTTCCTTTCCAGACACGTAACAAAGGAGGACCACTTTCCCACCACCTATGCTGAGGCTCAGTGCCTGTGTTCCGGATGCATCCTCTTCCAGGACAACTCGCAGCACCCGGAGCACAGCCTCAGCTACAACTCAGTCCCCTTAACGCAGAAAAGGGTGTTTCTCAAGAGGGAGCTCTGCAGCGACGGGAATGAGAAAGTGAAGAGATACCAGCTGAAGCCGGTTAATGTGGAAGTAGCTGTGGGCTGTACCTGCGTCAGAGTCAACTACAGTTAATGTTGTGTTTGTTTTAAAATGCACCAAGTTCTCTTGAAAAAAAGTCTTAACTCAGGGGTGTGGAGTGCTACAGGGTGGCTTAGTGGGATCGTTGGTCCATGATACCCTTGGGATTGTGCATGAGGACTTCAAAAGTCATAGTCACATCAGCCTTTTTTGGAGGCCTATTTATTGTCACAATGACATAATTTATAATGTGTGTTTTGTAGGTCTCTGCATAGTGCAGAAACTAGGTATTTTATCATGTACTTCTGTTCATACTGATGACTTTGTCATCGAAGAAAATAGCTATTGTATAGTTTTGTAAAATAATAATTTAATTGCTAATAATATTATAATTATCTATTTATTTGGTCTGTTTTGCAGTTAAAATGTTTGAGCATTTAAAGGCTTTAGAATGCTCATGAGTGCATGAGGAAGACTTTTTGTATTTATCTATGTTGGATATCTTGTAGATTCATCCCAGTGGGACTTATAAGTGTAAGAGCTTCTTTGAAGCAAAATAAAGAAACATGTTGGATTTTAAAGAAAACAAATTCTCAGTGTGTTTCTGTATTCACAGCTGATATTGGAACACATAAGGCTGGATTTCCATCTGCACAAAGGGCCAAAAAGTCACAGCTTCACTGGTGTCAGTGGGGGTTTAGTTTGGTAGCTAGCTGGGCAAAGGAGCCGGTGTTCTTTTCATTAGTTTTATTCAGGATTTGGTATAGGTGTACAATGCAGCAACCTTGTATGTAGGTGTAGTGTGTGTATCACACTCGTATAAGCCCGTTAAAATCAGCTTTTCAATGAGCA